TTGTGAGGAGGAAGTGTGGTATATACAGAGTTGGAGTGAGAGGAAGCTCCGTTGTTTGATAAGGAAAGCTGCGGAGGACACTTGATGGACTGAGTGAGGCCTGGGGTGGTGGCTACAGAAGCTCTGCTGATGTCCCTGTGGGCCCAGGATGGACCCCACAGGTCAGAGCGGAGCAGCTGCTGGCGGGGGTCTCTGGCCAACAACCGATCAAAGGTGAATGGTCTCTGTTAAACCATGCTGGGGGAAATTTTATCCTTGGTTGCTTTCTTTTACCATCTAATGGGAATCAAGATGGTAACATTCCAGGGCCTTGTGACTACACACATGTGAGCTTCAGATTGTACGGGATTCCTCTTTTCTTTCAATAGCCTTAGGTACAAAAGTCTCTATAACTTCTAAGAACTGTTGGGAAATCCTTAGGACATTGCAGACCTGACCCTAATGGGACACTGGTGTTTGTTAAACAGCTATGGAAAGAAGGAATGAAAAAGAATATGTGTGAAATGGGCATTTATCCACAATATCTACTAGACACAAGGAAGAATAGATGAGTATTTTTGAAGTGCCAAGTATTTGTGTGTAATAACTTCTAATGAATGAATTTCTAATATCTTTTTTCAATGCAATTATAGGGGTGAGAGGGAAACTGCAAGTTATTGTGTTCTATTGTGAGTTCTGGCTGGCAAAAGATGTGCACTGGAAACCGAGACCCTTTAGTATTTTCTTTGATTCTGTCAGTGCTGAGAAGACTTCTCATGCCCATTGCTCTGGTCATTAATTCCACAAATGTTTTCTTTCTTTCTTTCTTTCTTTCTTTCTTTCTTTCTTTCTTTCTTTCTTTCTTTTTTTTTTTTACAGGCAGAGTGGACAGTGAGAGAGAGAGAGAGAAAGAGAGAGAGAGACCATGGCTGGGGCATTGCAGCCGGTGCACTGTGCTGATCCGAAGCCAGGAGCCATGAGATTCTCCTGGTCTCCCATGCGGGTGCAGGGCCCAAGCACTTGGGCCATCCTCCACTGCACTCCCGGGCCACAGCAGAGAGCTGGCCTCGAAGAGGGGCAACCGGGACAGAATCCGGTTCCCTGACTGGGACTAGAACCCGGTGTGCCTGCACCACAGGTGGAGGATTAGCCTTGTGAGCTGAGGCGCCGGCCCAAAATGTTTTCAATCCCCTACTACATGCCAGACCCATCCCAAGGACACAGTCTTATGGAAGGGGCCAGGGCAGACTCGGCTTCAGCGTGGCCTCCAGTATGGAAGGGAGGAGAGACGCATACAGAATCATAAAGAATGGCTCATTCGTACTACGACCAGCTCAAACAGCCAAGCACAAGCTGGGGCATAAACTTGGCTCAACACTGCCTGGAGAGCCCTGTGTTTACACAGCACTTCCACCTGCACTCAGGGAGCAGCAGGGAGTGCCTGGGCCACCTGGGGGCACGGCAGGAACTGGGGAGACAGAGGAAGGAGGAACATGGAGGGAGGACCAGCAGGTCAGGAACACCAGAGGAACCAGAGGACTCCTCACCTGCTCTGAATTCAGCCCCTCCTAACACCAACCCTTTCCCACTCACTTCCAGGCAACTAGAAATATCTGGATTAAAACTCCTCATTGATTCCCCATTGTTTAACAGATCATTCACCAACTGTGTTACATTTTAGTGAGAAAGAAATCCTGATGTTTGTAAACAGGGCCTCTTGTCACTTCCAGCTGTGACTTTGGGGAATGTGCCCACTGATGAGGCAGCACAACACTGCCTTTGGAGGATGTTTCCACAGGCTCTAATGGAGCCAATGGGTGTCCTCTAGCAGGACACCCCCCAGCCCAAGGACCCTGGGGCCGGGGTCACTAGGCACAGAAGGGGGCAAGAGGACCCCAGGGAAGGGCATTGCAGGGGAGCTGAGCAGCACAGTGAGCTGAGGAGTCTGCAGTCTGTGTTATCTGAGGCCTGCAGGCGTCCTGGGCAGTTTCAGGGAGTGTGCAAAACAGTGATCAATCTGCCTGCATGGACTGTGTTTACAGCAGTGGGGGGGAACATTTGAGTTTGCCACTGGAGGGCTTTGGAAGCCAACAGCTGGGCGCCAGAGTGCCGAGGCTCTTGGCAAACCCTGCCCAGCCTTAGTCTTTCTCTCCGTGCAGTCCATGTAACATCTGGCCCTGATGACCAGGTGCTCATTTCTGTTTGCTGAGTTCCTAAAATCCTACAATCCTACTCCGAGCTCAGCACCCTCATGCAACATAACTAGGTAGAAAGAAGATTTTGAGTGACTTGACATTCTGTATGTAAATAAATGTTTTCCCTCATAGTATGCATAGATTCACCAAAAGTAATGCAGTGTTGTTGGTACCAGTGACCCCAGAATAGACTATTCGATCACATGAACAGTTTAAACCATTGTTATCTATACTTTTCAATAACCTTTTAACATTCTGCTGCTTGTAGCAGGTGATACAAACAATTTCAAATCAATTGTGTGCATGGTCATTCGTTAATGTGTTTGATATACAGGTTCAGGATGGTATTTCCACCTTAATCTGCAACAGAAATACTTAATTTACAGCAGAATCAGCCCATTATGTCCCATCCTCCTAAATTTAGAATACCTATAAAGACTGAAATTGAGCAATAAACTAGGATAACTTTGAAATAAATGTCAATGAAATATTTGCATGATGGAAAACTTGGGATTTCATGGATAAAATAGGTAGTCACTGTAAGTAGGGCGACTGCATCAATCCTCCATGACTGGCATTCAAGGAGAAGTCAGAGAAACACTTTTGAACCCCCACACCCCCCCCCACACACACACAGACCTAGCTCCATAATTTACTCCTGGTCACAGCTGCAGCTTTTCAGCAGCCTCCCGAGTGTGACAGAGAAAGGAAGAGGAGCTGTGGCTTCCTTTGAAGGTCATGGTCCTGCCTGATTGTAGATCCAACTGAAGCTATTTGATGCCATCCCTATGATTAAGGAGAAACAATTCCAAGGCTTTGCAGCTTAGCTTTTAAGTGGGAAGCCATTGAGGCTTCTCAGAAATGGGCAGGCACTGTGACTCATGGGTCGGGAACTCATTGGCTCTATGATGCAGCCATGAGGACTGCTCCATCTCCTCCACTTTGCACTGTTAAAAATGGTTGGGCTCCAGGCTGGCGCTGTGGCTTAGCAGTAAAGCTGCCACCAGGGATGCCGGTATCCCATATACGTGCTGGATCCTCTCCTTGCTGCTCTACTTCTGATCCAGCTCCCTACTAATGACCCAGGAAAGTCATCAGAAGATGGCCCAAGTGCTTGGGGCCCTGCCTCCCACATGGGTGACCCAGATGAGACTCCTGACTCCTAGCTTCAGCCTGGCTTAGCCCTGGCCTTGTCGGACAACTGGGGAGTGAACCAATGGATGGACATTCCCTCTCCTCTTCCCCCTTCCCTTCCCCCTTCCCCTTCCCTTCCCCCTCCCCCTCCCCCTCCCTCTCCCTCTCCCTCTCCAACTCTGCCTTAAAAAATAAATTAATTAATCTAAGAAGAAGAATGATGTTCCCATGAGTGTGAGAATTCTCCATTCTAGGCCAAGTGCACACTTGCAGAAATCTGGAGGTTTGGTCTGTGTGTTAGGTGAATACGAGGCTCACAGAACTTAGTGTCTCAAATTAGCCTAATCTCTTGCAAAGGGCTGGCTGTGGCATCAAGTTTTCAGAGTCTAAACACAGAGTGTGGGGGCTGGTGGGTAGGGCCACCGCCTGTGGTGCTGGCATCCCAGTGCACTACGTGGCCATCATGAGCAGCCTGCTCTCCTTGAGGCTGGCCCTGGGCTGCTGGGCCTGTGGCTTCCTGCCCATCGTGGCACCCACTGCCCTCGTCAGCAGCCTGTCCTTTTGCGGTCCCCATGCCATCAACCACTTCTGTGACATCGCGCCCTGGATCGCCCTGGCCTGCACCAGCACACAAGCCGTGGAGATCGTGGCCTTCGTGATCGCCTGTGTGGTCATCCTGAGTTCATGCCTCATCACCCTGGTCTCCTACGTCTACATCATCAGCACCATCCTCAGGATCCCCTCGGCCAGTGGCTGGAGCAAGGCCTTCTCCACGTGTTCCTCCCACCTCACTGTGGTCCTCCTGTGGTACGGGTCCACCATCTTCCTGCATGTGCGAACCTCCATCAAGAACGCCCTGGACCTGAGCAAGGCCATCCACATCCTGAACACCGTGGTGACCCCCGTTCTCAACCCCTTCATCTACATGCTCCGGAACAAGGAGGTGAGGGAGAGTCTGCTGAGAAAGTGGAAAGGAGGTAAACTCCCTACGGTGTGATGGGGAGGTGTGCTGTGTGCCGGCCCCCAGACTGCAGGGCTCTCCATTCCTGCAGCATGGCAGGTGTTCTGATCATGGCTCCAAGTGCACCACAGAGTGGCAGAGATGCTTCTTTGGTTCCAGCGGGGAGAAAACAAAGGGGAAACACCTGAAAGACAAAATCAGACCTATCAAGGGAAACACTGGGTGCAGGAGCTCTCCTTTCTCATGCAGGAGGGGAACAGGAGTTTTTGATATAAGCAAACTAGCTTGTCCAAGCAAAATAGTAGTACATTGACGTGGGTTGTCTTTTGAGGTTTTTTTATAACATTAGGGACACATACTCGGTGTGAAGCATACATTACGAAAACTCCAAGTTCTCGTTCTTTGTAAGATTTTTGTATCACCTTGTAAATCTGGGGTGTAAGAACTAAGACAGGAAAATGCATGAAATCATAATGGAAATGAGAGTACCATTATTCCCACGTGACATTTTCTTGGGTGAGGTATGGTAATAGATGCAGATGGCAGGGGAAGCTGCTAACTTGCAAGATGCCACATCTGTTTCACCAGAACTGAAAGGGTTTGAGTAAAGCTATAGAAGTCCCGTGATGATCCGTGTTCAAGGTGCTGTCCCTTGAGAACGAAAGTGACAAATTCTGCTTCTCAACCACAGAATTAGAGTTTCAGAGAAAAATAACCTTGGGGTACAATAATTAGAGCATTTTGTTTTTAATTTCCCTCCAAAAGACCCCATCTTAAGGAGCCAGAAGCAGGCCTTGCCTTCTCAGCCATGCACCCAGGAAGATTCATTTCCCCTCACCCACTTTCCAGGGCTGGGGTTAGACGCTGCAGTCAGGGGCTGGCCAACAGAGCCAGGCAGAGGAGCGGGCTGGGGCTGTGTTCTTCCCCCAGGAGGAAGGCGGGGGCTGGGAACAGCTGCCCTCAGACCTCCCTGTTCCCATCATTAGGAACCTTTCCTGGTTTTGGAAGTGAATGGGGCGGGGAAGGCTGCATGTTGGAAGGACATAGGAGAACATGTTTTAACTGAGACCGAGTCCCCTGGCAAAGATGTGCCTCTGTTGAAAGTCTACCTCCTGGGGCTGGTGCGATGGTACACTAGGCTAACCCTCAACCTGTGGCACCGGCATCCCATATGGGCGCCAGGTTCTAGTCCCTGTTGCTCTTCTTCCAGTCCAGCTCTCTGCTGTGGCCCAGAAAGGCAGAGGAGGATAGCCCAGGTGCTTGGGCCCCTGCACACGCCTGGGAAACCAGAAGGAAGCACCTGGCTCCTGGCTTCCAATTTTTGTAGCTCCGGCCATAGCGGCCATTTGGGGAGTGAACCAATGAAAGGAAGACCTTTCTTTCTCTCTCTCTCACTGTCTGTAATTTTACCTGTCAAATTAAAAAAAAAAAACTTAAAAAAAAAAAGTCTGCCTCCTAAGAGACCATAGGGGTGAAAAGTGGTGAACTTTTGTCACCTGTCACAAGGGTTGTGGCCAGTATCTTACAAACGTAAGACTATTGCAGTTTTTGTTAAATGTGAGAATTTTGCATGAGGCACAGCGGAGACACACACAGGGCAGTGCTTTTGAAAGCGTGTCCTCCAGGAGTGGGAGAAACGCATCTAATGTCTACCTCTAACAATCGGGAGAGGTGTAAGTGCAGCACTCTCAGGTATACACTGAAGTGCTGATGGATGCGTGAAGACGCCCTGGGGACACCTGGGAAACAAGCAAACATTAGAGAGCAGGTGCAGAAGAAAACAGAAGGGATGAGATGGCGTCAGGATGCAGCTTCCTCCCACCTTGTGGCGTGTGACAGGACAGCAGTGACCACGGGGTGAGGAAGCCTGCAGAGCACTGCCTCAGCCATGTGACCAAGGTCAATGCCAACAGCCATGACAGGACACATCCTTTATACCACATGACAAGAAGTCTTCTTCTTTCGTGACTTGTCACTCGAGAACATACAACCCACAGCACATGCAACCCGAGTTGATCCTGCCTACGTGCAGTTGGCTCCCACACTGCCCTGCGCCCACGGCCTGAGGATCTCCTCGGTGCCTTTTCACACACTGCACACCTCCCACGGTCTCACCTCCACAGGCCAGGATAGCCAAGCATTCCCACCCACTCCCAACGAGAGGAGGTACTGGACTGCTGACCCTGGCTGCACAGGAGTCACCCCTACTCTGCACAGCCATCCATACTATGAGAAACCGAGAGGTGAGAGCAACTCCATTACAGGGTAGGAAAAGCAGAAATATCAGGAAAGAAGAAGGCAGGGCCCCCTCTTCTGCCAGCAGTGAGCTCGGCTACTCCCAGTGCTCCCTGCGACACCCGCAGACCACCACGGTGCTCACCCCCAGTCTACTCTGAAGGCGTAGAGTGAGGTGGGCATTGGCTCCCTGCACCCCCCTGAGAAGGGATACAGCAAGGGCAGCACTGATGCACCCAGCGAAGGGGTGAGGTAACCCACAGGCAGCCTCCAGGGACAGACGCATGTGCACCAGCGAGAACGAGTCAGGAGGAGCACGGCACAGAAGGCAGGCTGGCTGGTCACTGTGTGCAGGGCACCCAGAGGGAGGGGAGGGTCCAGACCAAGGCAGACAGGGGTAGGTATGGTGGCACAGCAATGCTGGCATCCCGCTTGGGTGTGCTGCAAGACCCAGCTGCTGCACTTCCAATCCAGCTCCCTTTAATGCACCCGGGAAAGCAGTGGGAGATGACCCAAGTGCTTGTAGGAGACCTGGAAGAAGCTCCAGCCTACTGGCTTTGGTTTGGCACAGCCCTGGCCATTGTGGCCATTTGGGGAGTAAACCAGCTGATGGAGGATCTCTCTCTCTCTTGCTCTCGCTCTCTTGCTCTCACTCTCGCTCTCTTTCTCTATCTCTCTCATCCCTTTAACTCTGCTTTTCAAATAAATTAGAAAATAATTAAATAGGCTGGCACTGTGGCTCACTAGAGTAATCCTCTGCCTGCGGCGCTGGTACCCTGGGTTCCAGTCCTGGTTGGGGCACCGGTTCTGTCCCAGTTGTTCCTCTTCCAGTCCAGCTCTCTGCTGTGGCCCGGGAAGGCAGTGGAGGATGGCCCAAATGCTTGGGCCCTGCACCCACATGGGAGACCAGGAGGCAGCACCTAACTCCTGGCTTCAGATCGGCACAGCACACCGGCCATGGAGGGCATTTGGAGGGTGAACGTACTGAAGGAAGATCTTTCTCTCTGTCTCTTTCTCTCACTGTCTAACTCTGCCTGTCAAAAATTAAAAAAAAAAATAATTAAATAACAAATTAAAAGGAAATGCACACAGCCCCATAGCATAAAGTGCACACATAGCCCCACATGACAGAGAATGATGTGGACAAAATATTAATGCCTGGGCTGAGAAACTGCTCTATAACACTAGAGAAAGTTAACAGTAGTTCAATAACCTTCACAGCTGCATTGGTCAATCTGGGTCCATCTTGTTAGCTCACTTACTTCTTTTTCCTACCATTTTCCAAGGGGCTCCTTTTTTTCTTTTAAAGTGTCTTGAGGTTTACTTATTTACTTAGTTGTATTCATTTTATATGGAAGCTGGAGGGGGAGGGGGAGGAAGTAGCCAGTGCTGGGTCAGGCTGGAATCAGAAACTCCGTGGGTCTCCAGGTGGGTGGCACGGGCCCAGGTACTTGAGCCATCACCTGCTGTCTCCCAGGGTGCAATCAGCAGGAAGCTGGCATCTCCCAGGAACAGAGCTGGGACTTGAACCCAGCACCATGATCTGGGATGCAGGCATCCAAGCGATGTTGTAACCGCTGAGCCAAGCTTGCACCCCGGGCTTGTCGTTTTAATTGTGCCTATGTTTTCAGTACTGTAACAGAAAGGCCAACATTATTCCAACTTTAAAATTAAAAAAATAAATAAATAAAACCTTAGGGGCAGGGGTTTGGCTTGGCAGATAAGACACTGTTCGGGAAACCTGTGGCCCACCTCAGAGAGCATGTGTTGGATCCCTAGCTCTGCCTCCTGGTTCAGCTTCCTGCTAACGCAGACTCCGGCAGTCCACAGTGATGACCCCAGAAATGGGACTCGCACATGGGAGACTGGGATTGGGTCCCTGGCTCCCAGCGTCAGGTTATTTCAGGAGTGAAAGATCAGATGGGAGCTTGTTCTCTCTGTCTCTGTCTCTCTGCCTATCTAATAAGGAAATATTTTTTAGAAGAAAATCTCCCATCACAATCCAGGAAAATGCCCACCTGACAGAGGCACCAGGGAGGCCAGAGCCACGTTCTGGGATAGCACAGGGCCTGGAGTCGCTCCTCATAATACTCCACTGCCCAGAGGCCATGCTGGGGGGTCTTGGGGACCCTGCCCTCCCGGCCCACACTGCCCAGACACATGCCCAGTGTCCAGGCCTTCCCGTCCCCCACCTCGACCTCCCAGTAGTACTGCCCGGCAAAGAACTGCTCCAGGCCAGCACACAGGAGTCCTGATCAAAGCTGCTGGTGCAGGGGGGCAGGTCCTGGTCGAAGAGCAGCCGCCTCATGCTCTTCTGATCCTCAGACAGGGAGAGCCTGGGGCTGGCTGTGGCGGGGTCCAGCGAGGGACTCACTACAGAAAGAGGCCAGGGACAGGCATCAGGGGTGGGTCCGCAGTCCCTCATGCACAGGAATGTCAGGGTCTGCCCCACCTTGGGACCCCTGTACTCTTCCTGTGTCCCTGCCAGCCATCAGCCCCAAGCAGGTGATAGGGATCTGCTCCTGGGGTGGCAGAGACCTGGCTGAGTGCACAGAGTGTGTGCGTGTGTGTCTGTGAGACAGTGCCAGTGTGTGGGTGTGATGTGTGTGTGAGAGAGCATGCCAGTGTGTACCTGTGTGTGTGACAGTGCCAGTGTGTGTGGCATGTGTGTCTATGTGTGAGGGAGCACACAAACATGTCTGTGTGTGAGAGAGCATGCCAGCATGTGTGTGCATTGTGAGAGTAAATCAATGTGTGTGTCTGTGTGAGAGTATGCCAGCGCCAACTTGTGTATATGTGTGTGTGTGAGAGCACTCTAGCATGTGTGCATGTGTCTGTGTGCAAGAGCGCATGCCAGCATGTGTGTACACCTGTGTATTTGCCTCTCCTTGGACTTTGCAAGAGCAAAAGGAGCCAGGGTCTTCCTTCCCAGGCCTCTGTGCCCACTTCCCAGCGTCTGACATGAAACCTGTGCTCTTTTAGATGGGAACACACACCCATGCACACACTTTACAATGCACACACATTACAATGCACACATGTATGCGTGCACACCACCTCCACGTGCATACACATGACCTCGTGCACATGCTCATGCAAGGCCTGGACACTGCTCACACACACCCACACGCCTGCACACATGCACTCACGCCTGAGGACAAGCCTCAGGACACCTGTGCTCTCACCCACCCCTGTCCAGCATCCTCTTGAGTAACTCTGGGCTTCTCACTTTGTCAGAAACGAGTGTGGGAGGGAAACCATGCCCACCGCCCCAGAAGAAGGGGCTCCTGTCCTCTCCTTGTCCCCTGGGACACCTGGCTCCAAGGACTCCACCCCCACCGGCCATTTCCGACGGAGGGACTTGTTTCTGCAGTGATGCAGGAGGCTGTGGTGTCTTGGGGTCTGGCTGATGGAAACCCAGCCCAGCCTCGTGTTCTGGAAGCAGCGAAATCACACGAGAGCTCACTGAGCTCCCCTGGCATCACCTGTCACAGAACACTCCCCGTCCCTGGACTCCAAGGAGCTCACGCCGAGGCTGCAGCCCACACTGCCAGGCTGGACAGGCTCTGACGGTGCCCCCGGGGCCTCCTGTGCTGGCCGCGGTCCTGATGTGGAGGTGGTGGGCCTGTGAGGGGCCAATGCACAGCCGCTGTGGTGCTGCCCTCAGGAAGGAGGGGTGTTCTCGTGGCACCCGGCTGGCTCCTTTAGGGGCTGCTGTGCCCTCTCCTTCCTGTCTGCCTCTCCTCCCACCATGGCGCCATCCCCACAACACAGTAGAGGCCGATCCAGGGAGCCACCTGGGACAGCTAAAGGAGCCCATTCCCCAGCCCGGGCAGTCACTATAGCCTCAAGCTCAGATGCCCCTGTGTCCATCAGGGAGGACAACCAGGGGGACCAGGCGGGAAGAACAGTGTGAAGCCTGAGACTGCAGGTTCTTGCCAGGCAGCCGGCCCCTCCACAAGCCCCCGCCCCACCCCAGGACAGAACAAAGCTGGTTCAGAAGGCCCAGGTGAGTGACAGCGGGGGTCCTGCCCAGCTCCCCACTCCCACTCACCCTGGAATGGCTCAATCCTGTCGCAGCTGGCTCCAGGCCCCAGCTCCTGTTCTTCCTGCTACCTCCCTTTCTCCGGCTGCTCCTCGCTCTCTTCCCAGTTCAGCTTCGGGCAGAGGCAGAGACCCCCAGCTATGATGAGCCCCAGCACAATGAGGATCAGAAACAGGGGCATCCTCCACGTGGAGGGTGGGGCCGTCCTGAGAGGGAGGCCCACGGGGACCCTGGGGATCCAAGCACATCGGGATGAGAGTCCCTGTCCCAGGCCCTGCTGCAGGATCTGAGTCAGGGGTACCAGGTCTCCAGCCTGCTCTGAAACAGTTCAGAAATGGATGCTCATTCACATGCACGATGGGGCCGGGTCTGAGGGAGGGTCTTCCCAAACATGGCGGGGCCCTCACCCCAGAGTGCTGGTGTCAGGAGCTGGGACTTCACCCCACAGTGAGAGTCAGGAGCTGGGACCCTCACCCCACAGTGGGAGTCAGGAGCTGGGACCCTCACCCCACAGTGGGAGTCAGGAGCTGGGACCCTCACCCCAGAGTGCTGGTGTCAGGAGCTGGGACCCTCACCCCAGAGTGCTGGTGTCAGGAGCTGGGACCGTCACCCCACAGTGAGAGTAAGGAGCTGGGACCCTCACCCCACAGTGAGCTGGGGCTTTTGTGACGTGATACATCATGAAGTGGAGCTCCCATAATAAATGGGACCCAGGAGAGGACCCTGCCTATGAGCGAGAAGCAGCTGCCCTGTCCTCTGCCCTCCAGCCTCCCCACTCTCTTCTCGGATTTCCCCAGCAGCAGAGCTGGGAGGAGTGAGCTCCAGGGGCCAGAAGCTGCCCTATGGCAGAGCTGAGGGGGACCAGGTCATCCGGGGACAGACACTTGTGTACGAGCCGTGATAGAAATGTAGGACCACGCGGTTGACGTGGTGCCCGAGAAGCCAGAGAGGATGGTCTGGGAAAAGTTAAACCTGGACACAGCCAAGAATGCATGGGCAGGTGCAGTGTGTGAGTGACACCAGGGGTGGACTTAGGGCAAAAGGAAGAGCAGGGAGCCATGGGCGGACATGCAGGAAATGCAGGTGCAGTTCGAGGAGGGGGCTGCGGAGGACACCATCCACTGGGCTCTCGCTCTGGGAACTGTAGAGACCACGAGCAATAAGAGGGGAGGGGCTGGGGGAGACACGGGGGGCTCTCAGGGCAGCAGCTGTGCTGGTGGACTCAGGCAGACAGATCTGTCCAGACCCATGGGGTCCAACCCTTAGCTGAACTGTGGACTCTGGGGGACGCTGGTGCTGGCAGCTGTGACACTCACACCTCTCCTGCTGTGGGGAGCAACTGTGTGCTGGGACATCTACATGCTTCCTGCTCCAATTTGCTATGAAACCAGAGACATGGAAAGAACCAAACAGGAAGCCGATGTCAGGGCACAACTTTCTCGGTCTCTCTGCCCAGTGGCTGTCTGCACCCCCATCTGTACTCCGCCCTCGCAGTCAACACCCAGGACCCTCCCCTCTCCCACTGCAGGGCCACAGACAGAAGCTCCAGTGTCCCGTCACACAGGGCCACACACACCCGTGCTTGGAGCCACACAGAACACTCACTGGGCAGGTGGCTCTCAGCTACCTTCCTCTCATGGAGCAGGGGGCTGGAGATGGAGCAGGTGAGACCCCCCATGCTCCTGTCTGGGACGGCCACCCTGGACAGCACAGCCAAGAGGCCAGTGGTGGCTGAGGCTGAGAAACAGGTCACAGCCGGCACCGCATGCCCCCTGAAGTCTCTCCACTCCACGTGAGGCTCTGGGTACCAGCCTGCTGAGGTGCACTCGGCTCGGATGCCCTTGTCCAGGTCCTCGGTCACATGGATTCTGGGCTCCAAGCCCAGCCCTGGGGGAGACACAGAGCCTCAGTCCAGGGCTGCTGCCAATGCCAGACGTGTTATGAGGGTTCCAGAGGTGCTTGCATAGTCTCACCAATCACCTACATACCACAGAGCAGAAAAGAGTCTTGGAGAGTCAGCGGGAGTTTCCAGTGTTGCAAGTCGGGAAGGGTGGGGAACAGGAAGGAGCCCAGGCAGGGCTGACTGCAGAGCAGAATGCCCCCTCCATGTCCCCAGCTCCTCTGCCCGCCCTGGCCTGTCCCTGTCTCCCTTCTTGTCTCCCCTTCCCCTCTGCACTCTGTCTCCCCTCCCCCTCCCCAGCTGGTCCTCTTCTTCCCTGGCTCCCTGCCTTCTGCCTTTCCCAGTAATGGTGGGAAGGCAGGCTGCACCTCCTGGGACACAGCGTGGGCAGGTGGGGATGTGAGGACGTGGGGACGCTCCCACGCTGCGCACTGTGGATGGTAGCCCAAGCCTGGAGCTGGGACCGGGAACTTGGGAGAGGCGCTCCCAGGGAGGCGGAGGCCGAGGCAGCCCTCACCTGCCACCTGCAGCGCCAGGGTGGTCTCGCTGTGAGGCTTCCCGTCCCTGAAGAGGCAGTGGTAGGTCCCGTTGTCATACACAGTGATGTTGTGAATCCTCAGCACAGCTTTGCCCCTGGCCAGGAGGTCGCCCAGGAAAGTCGTCCTCCCCCGGTACTCTGCCATCTGCTCTCTGGACACCTGTGCTCCACGCCTGTGCAGGTACACAGCGGGCGAGGGCCGGCTCCTGTACCACCTCAGCTCCATGTCCTCCGCGCTGAGGTTGAGGGACAGTCTGCAGGGCAGCAATGCGTCTTCCCCCAAGGTGGCCAGGATGGGGCCGTCTGGCCCAAGGACCTTGAAATCGGCTTTCCCTTGGGAGGCTAGGAGCGAAGGGCGAGGTGAGGCATGGGTCAGGGAGTTGGTACCCACCCGCCTGTCTCCCAGGCCACCTGGCTGGGCTCCCCGGGCCCCTCTGCGGGGCGGACTCTCACCTTCCCCAGCTGGCAGGAGCTGCAGGGCGAGGAGGGAGACGGCGCAGCTGTGCAGGAAGACACCCCCACTGCCTGCCTTTGCCATGGCCCTGGGCACAGAGGGCTCTGAGGTGCCCGCCTGGCCCAGGTGGGAGAGGAGCACTGTCAGGAGCTGATGGGAGGAAGGAAGAGTCACCGCTCACGGCCCTGACAGGGCTCAGCCTTGCATCCTTCCACCGCGGGGGCCCCTCTCACCTCCTCACCGAGATCGGAACTGCGTCCAGAGCCCCCACACCCTACTTCCCTGTCTCCTCCCTGGAGGACAGGTACAGGAGCCCCCCTTCAGGAGCCCCCCTTCCCTGTCACCTCCCTAGGGGACAGGAACCCCCATTCCCTGTTGTCTCCCTGGGGGATAGGGACAGGAGCCCCCCTTTCCTGTGGTCTCCCTGGGGGATAGGAACAGGAGTCCCCTTTCCCTGTCGTCTCCCTGGGGGACAGGAGCCCCCCTTCAATGTCATCTCCCTGGGGGACAGGAACAGGAGTCCCCCTTCCCTGTCATCTCCCTGGGGGACAGGATCCCCCCTTCCCTGTTGTCTCCCTGGGGACGGGGGCAGGAGGTTCCTGAGCCCTGGCCGGCAAGTTGCCGTACTCCAGGCCTCTGGTCATCAGGGTGCTCGGTGGAGCCACACACTCTGCGGCTGCAGGAAAGTCTTTGGGGGTTCCCTTGGGGGCTCCCTGTCCCTCGAGGCTGAAGAGAGAGCAGAGCAGAGGCCCCACGGAGCCGGGGTAACAGAAATCCTCACCTAGTGGTGATCCGCGGCCAGCTTCCAGGAAATCTGGTGATTCCAGGAGAGTCTTGCATTTGCCAGAGGCGGGGGGGCAGTCCCTGGGAGCAGCCAAGCTCCAGGCTTCCACTGAATCCTCCTGCTACGTTTATTTTTCTGTTTTGCAAAAATAACCAGCTGTGCTGTTTTGGCAGTTGCAACACACACACACACACACACACAAGTGCTTCCTGGGGGTGTGGTCAGCAGAAGTGGACGATGCTGGCACCAGGAGATAAGGGCAGAGGCCCTGGCCAGGTGAGGTGACACGAGGATGGCCACCAGGGCCAGCTTTGGCCTCCACCAGGAACCTAAGAAGGACAGGGGACTTTCCACATGGGTCCCAGCCAAGGATAGAAGCTGGGGAACTCAGATAAAGTCCCTTGCTTATCTAGGACCTGCAGACCTGTCCAGTTCCTTGGGGAAAGTTGTTTACCATGGTGTTGAAATCTGCCCAATTCTGGCACTGCCTCCGGAGACTCCAGGGATGGTGAAATTCAGGCCACCTCCTTCCTGTCCCCTCCCTGTCCCTGTGGCTGTGGGGTCCTTGAGGGAAGCCTCCCTGGGGCTGCTTCTGGGGTCAGATCTCCCACAGCCAAGTGTCAAGCTTCCTCTTCTCTCCTCATTGATGGAGATACTGGGGCATGCCCGGCAAGGCTCTATGGGAACAGACACACAGCACACAGGGAAGGGCCGCTGGCCAGCATGAGGCCAGGGCCCGCGTCAGCAGTCAGTGCTGAGGGCTCCGGGCCCAGCTCCCGGCCCTCCCCAGGTGGTTTCCCTGTGAGCCTGTGCAGGGGGCGCCTGTGCCCAACCATCATCCCCCAGGCCTCGCCGTCCTTGTGAGATGGGAAGGAGGATGGGGGCTTCACCATGGCTCCTCAGACAGGAGCAGAGGGCGACGCTTGTCCAAAAGACCAAGAGCCCCGTGCACTCGGGGAGGGGGTGAGGGAAGAGCGGGGCCTGCCGCCTGGACATGGCCCACGGCCGCCTCCCTGTGTTTGCAGACTGACCCCCAGGACAGGACCACACCGTGTGATTCTGGCCAGGAGATGACCGGACGGGGCTGAGGAGATGGGGTGGGGGAGAAGGGCCTGGGGCCTGCGCCTGCTCAGCTGCTCTGAGGGTCTGCAGGCTGAGATGCAGCAGCAGGAGGCACGATGCCCAGTGTGATACCAAGGGCGCACGGCACAAGCCGGCCCGGTCTGCATTCACGCTGGTGTTCTCGTGGATGTGGGGGACCCTCCATTTGTGCTCCCCATGGAGGGCTCTCTGGCTGAGAGTTCCTGAAATTCCTCCCCAGCTCCACGGTTGCCCAAGAGCCCCCCGAGCAAGGTGGGGCAGAGCCCTGTAAGCTGCCCCCCCCCCACCTACCCAAGCTGGGGCTGGGACCCTCCTTGCGAGGTCTGGGCACAAAAGCAAGGCTTTGCTTGCTGTCACGTTTCTCCCTCATTCGACCACACAAAAATTTCTGTTTCCTTCCAGAAATCACCATTTTTCTGTGGCCCCTCGTACACACATAGGCTAATGTCTACCTGATTTTAACAGGCTGGGGATTTTACTTTAGGAAAATAAAAACACTTTGGAATTGTGAACGTGCTTCAAAAAGTTATGCATGGTTTTTCATAATACACATTTTCATGAACCTTTCAATAAAAGATGAGAGAGAGAGAGAGGAGAGAGAGAATCTTCCATCTGCTGGTTCACTCCCTAAAGGGCAGCAACAGCCATGGCTGGAACCAGGAGCCTGGAACTCCATCCTGGTCTCCCACATGGGCGGCAGGAGCCCAAGCACTTGAGTCATCATCTGCTGCTCTCCCAGGCCATTAGCAGAGAGCTGGATCCAAACTGGAGCAGCCAGGACTTGAACCAGTGTCCCAGTGTGGGATGCTTGTGTCTCAAGCAGCAGTTTAACCCCCTGCACCCCACGCTAGCCCCTTTTGTGAACTTTCTGAAGACCCATCATATGCGTTATTACAAAATTTTTGCACCAACAATAAATTTATTTTGTCATATTTTACACTTATCTTTTGAAGTACCCTTACACCAACGGTGTGCTTTTATGTTACAGATTTTCACTTCAGTTGAAGAAGAAAGAAAAGGAAGAACAAAAAGAAAAGAAAAAAGCAAAAGAAAAGGGAGGGAAGAGAGAAGGAAGTGAAAGAAGCCGACACCTGCCGTCTGTGGGTGGGGTGAGGTTGCCAAGCCAAGCAAACCCCCCAAGCAGCAGCTGCACAGGCCACTGGCTCCTCGGCACCCTCTGCAGGAGTGTGTGTGTCAGTGCACCGGCCTCCCCCTGAACCAGCACGGCCTTTGCCTGTGTCTCCTGCTCTCTCCAGCCCCTGCTCCGGCCCAGGGCCCAGCTCACCCCCGCCCTGAGCAGGTGCTTTATGCCTTTGTTCTCTCCAACAGCCTGTGAAGAGAGCTGGACCAGGCTTTCTCCCATAGCCCCTCTGTCCTACAAACCCGAGCAGCCCATGGGGCTGACCGAGGGTTGGGTCACTGTCCCCCTTTTCTCACCCTCCTTCCACCTCCCTTTTGCACGGCCCCTGTCACCATGTGCACTGTGTTTCCATGCCTTCAGCGTCAACAGTGGCGTTGGCTGTATTCAGAGGTACGCAGGTCACTCCCTGGGACCCCAAGTGCTCCTCCTGAGGTTGTGTGAGACCTGCTCATGGCAGTTTGCAGGCGTGCGCCCCTCCTGGCTCCTCAGTGCTCTGTGAATCCCTGTGCTCAGGGGCCTGTCCCGTGAGCAGGGGTGCTGCAGAGGGTGGGACCGAAGTTGGGACTGGGCAGGGGACCCCGGTCCTGCAGGGTGAGGAGGGGCAGCTGAGTGGCTTGGGGCCCCCGCTCTGGGTAGAGGAGGACTTCAAGTGCATGAATGAAATAAATGGGTTGGGTAGTTCTGTAACCAATATTAGTAATTCAGAGAATCTTCATGTCAGGTGTACGGCTACCTTGGAATGCACTAGAAACAGTGGACAAAAGTAGTTCTGGCTATAGCACTGTGAAGGAGCTCCAGCCCCCCTCCCCCCGCCCCTACCACTGCCCCATGGAGGGGAAAGAGGAGGAAGCTCCCACTAAGAGCAGGCCCAGGACGCTCCTGTGAGGCCGCTGAGCAGGAGAGGTGTGGCCCTGGCCAAGAGGAGGCAGAAAGTTGCAAAATCCTAGGCTGCGCGGCGCAGATGACATCTTGAGAGGGTGACAGACACACTCCTCCTGTGCCCCATGGAGTCGCGTGAATGCTGGCTGCTGAGCTGAGGTTGTGGGTGGTAAATGAAAGTCTTCCATGAGAAATCAAAGTCCCTATTCTTCCCCAGTCAGAGGTAAAGGCTCAGAATCAGTCCTCACCCAAAAGCAGGAATCAGACATCAAGAATCAATCTACAGCCACCTGTCTACACCTGTATCCACCTATCTCCATCTGTCATCTGTCCATCCATCAATCAATTTCTACCTGCATAGCCTATCTATCAATCATCTATCTACCCACCTATCTCTATCATCTATCCATCTCTCTGTGCACAATCTAGCTATATTATCATTTATCACCTAGCTCTATCATCTCTCTATCATCTCTCTGTCTACCTATCTCTATCATCTATCAATCAATCTCTCCCTGCATCTGCCTATTTCTATCATCTATCTATGTCTGTGTCTGCCTATCTCCATCTGTCATCTATCAGTCTCTCCTTGCATCTGCCTGTCTCTCTCAGTCATCTATTTATATCTACCTATCTCTGTCATCTATCTTTTTTAAAAGATTTATTTATTTGAAAGTCAGAGTTACAGAGAGAGAAGGAGAGGCAGAGAGAGAGAGGGAGGGGGGAGAGAGAGAGAGAGAGAGAGAGAGTCTTTCATCCTCTGGTTCTCTCCAATTGGCCACAACCGCCGGAGTTGCACCGATCCGAAGCCAGCAGCCAGGGGCTTCTTCCAGGTCTCCCAGGTGGGTGCAGGGGCCCAAGGAATTGGACCATCTTCCACTGCTTTCCGAGGCCATAGTAGAGAGCTGGATTGGAAGTAGAGCAGCTGGACCTCTAACTGGCGCCCATATGAGATGCTGGCACTGCAGGCAGCTGCTCTACCCACTACGCCACAGCGCCGGCCCTTCTATCATCTATCAATCAACCTCCACCTACATCTGCCTGTCTCTATCATCTATCATCTATCTACCCATTTATCTATCTAGAATGTGCCTATATTATCATCTATTTAATCTATCTATCTAATCATCTGTCATCTAGATATCTTATCATCCATCAGTCCATCATCTACATCATCTATCTGTCACCTATATGTCTATAATAGCAGCCTAGAGTCCCAAACATGAGCCCACAGAACTTCTAGTGAGAACACACATGATACCCAGTGTAGTTCAACAGAGCCGCAAAACAAGAACTGCCAAAGATTCACCCAAAAAATATGAGGAAAGGGGCCGGCACTGTAGTTAAGCAGGTAAAGCTGATGCCTGCAGTGCCAGGATCCCATTTGGACACTGGTTCAAGTCCCGGCTGCTCTACTTCCCCTCCAGCTCTATGCTATGGCCTGGGAAGGCAATAGAAGATGGCCCAAGTCCTTGGGCCCCTGCACCCATGTGGAAGACCCGGAAGAAGCTCTTGGCTCCTGGTCAGATTGGAGCAGCTCCAGCTGTTGCGGCCATTTGGAGTGAACCAGCGGATAGAAGACCTCTCTGTCTCTACCTCTGCCTCTCTGTAACTCTGCCTTCAAATAAATACATAAATCTTAAAAAAAAAAAAGATTGGTGGAAAGAATTGTGGAAAGACCCCTGATGGCTACAGGTTTCTGATGGCTCTGACACACTGCCGTTGGCGGGGTCAGGGTCTGGAGAGCAGCGGGGCTCTGTGGCAAGCAGGCTAGACTTTGCAGCATGGGGCTGGGAGAGAAACCATGTGGTGCTCAGGAACCTGCTGAAGCTGACACTCGTGTTTGAAGGCTTGGGGGTGTCTGCGACGTGGGAAGGCAGCTCTGTCCTTACAGCAGGGCAGAGTGCAAACACTGGTTCCAGCTCAGAGATTTTGACTGGGGGGCAGCATCTGAGCATGGGAACAACCAGGACCAGACCCGACTCAGGATGGAGGGCCACCCTTGTGGAGTGGAGAAGACCCTGGCCCACGCTGGGGCTTTCATGAGTCACACAAACTCCAGCTGATGCCATGACCTTGCCGCGAGTTCCACCATTCAATCTCAGCATTCTAAATAAAAGCTCACACAGGAGCTGGTGCTGTGCTTTAGCAGGTGAAGCCACCACCTGCTGTGCCAGCATCCCATGGGGGGCCGGTGTGTGGCTC